CTCTTTCCCAGCTTGCGCTGCTTCTGTTAGGTAATTGTTTGGAAACAGCATGTTCTCCTCCATTTTCACTGCAAGAACCATTAAGAGGTGGATGTGGAAGGACATGTCTTCACCTAGTCCTTTTCTCTTGCAAGTCAGCAGCAGTGGGGGAAGAGGCCAAAGTAGGTGAGGAACCTTTCTGTAAGGAAACAGACTATTTCACTTCAACATCTTTTTTTTTTTTTTTCTTTTCTTTTTTTCCCCCACTCGTTTGCTGTGATTATTAAGTCCTTTTTTTCCCTTTTTCTTCAAAACAACTAGGAAATTAGAGAAGGCCATGACCCAGAACCATCTCAGAAATTAAGCCTTTGCTTTCCAGTATCATCAAGGTGGCATATGTTGTGGGTGCAAAGCATAACTTAAACATAATCAATTAACACATTTCTTTGCAGAGATGATAAAATAACTTTACAAAAAAAATAAAATAAAATTTCTTTTATCCAGCTTTTTCTATCTTGATTTTTTATCACATTTAGAGTTTTTACAGCTCTGGCAGCTGCAAATCATGTATTGCCTTCCTTGTAATATTTGATGGCTTCTGTTTGCTTGTTTATTTGGTTCCAGCTCAAGTTTTTGCATACAATTTCTGCTTTCCATGACAAAAGTAAACAAACATATGGCTGTGGAGAAAAAGTAAAACATAGAACTGTAAAAAATTAAAGGACAAATAAATCTCACAATTGTAAAGCTAAGCAGTGTGTATCTGTGTGTACACAAAAATAGTACATTCATGTGAGTGTACCTGCTGTGACATTATTTTGTCTCAGGAAAAAACTAGATCCTTATTCAAGTATGTAATTTATAGCACAAAATAATCAATTTCATCATTACAGAGACATTTTTAGGTCATTATTTTTGTTTTGTTTAGTTATCAGAAAGTTTTGCTGAATTATGGAGTGCTGGTAGACAAGTTATCCATGGGACAACAATGTGCCCTTGTGGCCAAGAAGGCCAATGGTATCTTGGGGTGCATTAGGAGTGTCTCCAGTACATCGAGAGAGGTTCTCCTCCCTCTCTACTCAGCCCCGATGAGACCTCCCTTGGAATATTGTGTCCAGTTCTGGGTTCCCCAGCTCAAGAGGGACAGGGATGTACTGGAGAGAGTCCTACAGAGACTACAAAGATGATTAAGGGACTGCAACATCTGCCTTTTGAGGAAAGACCAAGAGGCCTGGGGCTTTTCAGTCTAGAGAGGAGAAGACTGAAGAGGGTTCTAATTAATGAGGGCTGGGCACCAAGAAGGCAGGGACAACTACTTTCCACTTGTGCCTTGTGATAAGGTGAGGGACAATGGATTCAAACTCAAGCACACTAAGTTCCACCTCAACATGTGGAAAAACTTCTTTCCTATGAGGGTGATGGAGCCCTTGAACAGGCTGCCCAGTTGTGGAGTCTCCTTTGGAGACTTTCAGGACCTATCTGGATGCCTTTCTGAGTGATCTGTCCTAGTTTGTGTGTGTTTCGGGTGGTTTTTTTGGTCCTGCTCCGGCAGGGATTTGGACTTGATGATCTTCAGAGGTCCCTTCCAACCCTTAATGTTCTGTGATTCTGTGATTATCAGAAAAAAAAAGCTAAGGGAAAAAATTACAGAAGACCTCTGAAGCTGGCCTTAAAACATTTTGAAGTGGTGTATTTCCCAACTTTCTCAAATTCCATTGTATCTAACTAAAAAAGTAAATAAGCTCTTTGGGAGGCAAAAGAGGATAAAAAATGCTTAGGAAAGACATTTTTTACTATAAAATTGTAGAAAGATGCATGTCAGTAAAAAACGTTGCTTGATACTACTTTCTCGTGCTAATAAACTTACATTTATAAGTTCTCAAATACTGCAGTAGGGACAGATTTTCACCTTGAAGGATCCTGAAGTACTTTGAAAATGTCGTGATGCACATATCATGCTTGTCTGGGCATCATTGCCTACCCTGCTGGCACAGCCCTTGCTGGAGGTGACACATGTCTGAGTGAGTGAAGTGTCTGTACGACATGCCCCACTGCTACAGCCTAGACCAGACACCAGAGCTGAGCAGGGCCATTCGGTATGGAGCAGTTGCAGAGCTAGATATTATCCCAGTTACTCTGTTTCTACTGTGGATCCTTCAGGGCACATGGAACATCTGTACTGCATGACAACAGTCATGGGAACATCTATACTGCTAAAAATAGCCACCATAGGCTGTTGCCTATGGATCAAGTAGTATGTTGGCTCACATTGGCTCTATCTTGACTTGACCCCAGCAGACCTGTCCATCTGTATCTCAACTGCAGTAATATTTGGTCTCTAAGCTTCAGTGACCACTCTTGTGGCCAAAAGACACAAAGAGCCACAGAGGTGATCATAGGGCTGTAGCACCTCTGCTGTGAAGACAGGCTGAGAGAGTTGGGCCTGTTCAACCTGGAGAAGAGGAGGATCTGGGGAGCCCTTATAGCACCTTCCAGTACCTGAAGGGGCTTCAGGAAAGCTGGGGAGGGACTTTTCATCAGAGAAGGTAGTGATATTACAAGCGATAATGGTTTTAAACTGAGAGAGGGGAGATTTAGGGTAGATAGTAGGCAGAAATTCTTCACTACAAGGTTGATGAGGTACGGAAATAGGTTGCCCCAGGAGGTTATTGATGCCCCAACCCTGGAGGTTTTTAAGGCCAGGTTGGATGAGGTTTTGTGCAACTGACCTAGTGGTTGGGTTCCCTGCTCCTGGCAGGGGGGTTGGAAATTGGTGATCTTTAAGGTCCCTTCCAACATAAACAATTCTGTGATTCTATGACTTATTTCAATGTATGTTTTCCAGCCCCAAGTGCCTGTTGTAATATAAGGGTTGTTTTGCAGCCTGAAGGGAGTTTTTTATAGTGTGACATCCAGGGCATAGAATGAAGGCACATTGTGGTGGTTAACTGTGTCTTGCCTACAGAAGTAGGTCAGGATTATTCCAAGCACTGGCTGTCAAACAAGGCACATCTGTTCTTCTGCTGATCTGCAGCACACCCATAAGCAAACTGTGGCAGCTCTGCTTGGGTTTTGTCTTAAAAAAGAGTAATAAGTATGTTCCAGAAGGGAGTCAACTAGCACACACACTGTATAGGCGACTGCATATGTATGATATCAGGAATGAGTTCTGAAAGAGAACTAGGGTGTCAAGATTGTTGATGAACCAAGTATGTTGTGAAACAAGCTCTGACTTTTATCATGCCAACAGAAAAGAAGGACATCTGTCCCTTCTGGACTTGGGGTGAAACTGAGAGGGACCTAAGGGATTAATGGTCAATAATATTCCCTACTCATGGCCCTGGATCCCATTTCAAGGAGCTGTGTGTCTCAGCAATGTCATAGATACCAGTCTTCTGCTCCACTACAGCCCTGCCTGGCACAGCCATGGACTCCACTGAGCAAACTCTCACCCTTGGGCTCTCAGCCTATGGAGG